GTCAGGCAATTCCACGGCACGTGGTGTGGGCGCACCGCACCTCGCGACTCCGCACAGGCGCACTGCAGGGTCGAGCGTTTGGGAGCGCGGGTGGGTGAGAGCGCGCAGTGTTTTCCACTTCGCTTCGATCGATGACAGGGTGCGGACTGGAGCACGACTGGCCAGGCGGAAGATTTCCCCCCCCCCCGAGCCACAGAATTAACAATCACCAGAAATCAGTGACATTCCGACAGCCTGAGTCAAAAGTGGCCCCCGAGGCGGACAAGTCCAGCCTTTCAAACCGAAGAACAGGCCGACGGCCACGGGCGATGGCGATGCGGAAGAAGTGTGATACAACACAGTTTCCAATATGCATCGGCGGCGCGCTGCGTCGCGAACGTGCCATGATACGGGGACCGCCTAACCCGTCCTGCGCGTTAGTAAGTAGGAGGGGGGGAGGGGAAGGGAAGGGGCAACTGGACAAGAGCGAAGCCGGCGAGTCAGACACGGCTTGTCCCCCTCGAGCAGGGCGGAGGAGGTCGCAGACCATCAGCGGGCTTAGGCAAATTCGCTGTCGAGGCGGACAAGTCCAGCCCCTCGAGCCGAAGAGTAGGCCGGCGGCCATGAGCGCTGGCGGAGCTTCGACTGGACAACGGCTGGTCTGATCCGCCATTGTTTGAACCTCTACGGATGACCGCTGAACGCGCCAACCCAAAACAGTCACCCAAGGCCTTTTGTGACTGTTTTGGCTGTCGGCGTTTGATGAGGTTGGTGGGCTGAAAAAGGACCGCCCTTTCTTCCTGCAGCACGCACTCCGCAACGACTTCAGGAGTCGCGCAGGAATCCACCTAAACCGCAATGCCACAGGCGTGTAAGTAAGGATGGGGGGAGGAGGAACGGAAAAGGGGTGCTGAGCTCTGGGCAAACATCGACTGCCGAGGCGGACAACTCCAGCTCCCTAAGCCGAAGAGCAATCCGACGATATCCAGCGCCAGCGGAAAGGTGCATGGCACAAGGCGCGATACGACATGGTTTGCGGTGTGTATTCATGGGGAGGGGAGCGGAGAACAGCCAAGCCGAGGAAGGGGAGGGGGAGAGGCGCGAAGACCCAGTCAGAAGCCAGGAGCAGCGCTCGAGCCAACAAGCGAAAATCGTCGCGCGCCCCCAGGGATTGGGAGAACGGCAAATGTGCGACGGATTCGAGAAGGCAGGGAGGACTGGGAGGAAATTGAAGAGGAGGAGGAGGAAGAGGAGGAGGAGGAGGAGGAGGGTATCAGAACATGTCTGGAACACGGTTCGGAGGGCCTCGCCCAGAACGTGGCTCCTCAGCCGGCATGTCTCGCCGCCAGCGTGAAAGAAAGGAGGGGGGAGGGGAGGGGGGGGGAACCGGACAGACAGCATGCTTCCGAAGATGGGCCGGCGGCTGGCATACCAAAGTCCTGAACTAATGCCTTCAGAGGCAAGCACACAGCTACACATCACAGCGCATCACAGCGCAGCCATACTGCGTGCGTGCGTGCGTGTGTGTGTGTGTGTGGCCGACATAAAACACAGCACAGCACGACATAGCAGAATGCAGCACAGCACACAGCATAGCACGGGTGACAGTGCGTTTGTTGTGTGGTGCGGTGCGGTGTGGTGTGGTGTGACGGTGTGTTGTGTCGTGTCGTGTCGTGTTGTGTTGTGTTGTGTTGTGCGTTCGTGTGTAAGCGTGTGTGCGTGTAAGCGTGTAAGCGTGTGTGTGCGTGCGTGTGTGTGCGTGTGTGTGTGTGTGCGTGTGTGTGTGAGCGTGTGTATGTATGTGAGTAAGTAAGCGTGCAAGTGTGTAAGTATGTAACAACGTGTGTGGTATAAGTGTACGTGTGGCGTGTGCGTGTGGTGGGTGTGTATGTGTTTGTGCGTGTGCGTGTGCGTGTGCGTGTGCGTGTGCGCGTGCGCGCGCGTGCGCGTGCGCGTGCGCTTGCGCGTGCGCATCCGCGTGCGCGTGCGTGCGTGCGTGCGTGTGTGCGTGTGCGCGTGTGCGCGTGTGGGCGTGTAAGCGTGTCTGCGTGTCTGCGTGTGTGCGTGTGTGCGTGTGTGTGTGCGTATGTGTATGTTTGTATGTGTGTTGTGTTTGTGTTTGTGTGTGTGTCGCGCGCGCGTGCGCGTGCGTGTGCGCGTGCGCGTGCGCGTGCGCGTGCGCGTGAGTGCGCGTGTGCGTATGCGTGTGAGTGCGCGTGAGAGTATGCGTATGCGTGTGCGTGCGCGTATGCGTGTGCGTGGGTGCGTGGGTGCGTGGGTGCGTGGGTGTTTGGGTGTGTGTGTGTGTGAGTGTGTGTGTGTATGGGTGTGCGTGTGCGTGTGCGTGTGCGTGTGCGTGGGTGCGTGGGTGCGTGGGTGCGCGGGTGCGCGGGTGCGTGTGTGCGTGGGTGCGCGGGTGTGTGGGTGTGTGGGTGTGTGGGTGCGTGGGTGTGGGTGTGTGGGTGTGAATGTGTGTGTGTGTGCGTGCGCGTTCGCGTGCGCGTGCGCGTGCGCGTGCGCGTGCGTGTGCGTGTGCGTGTGCGTGTGCGTGTGCGCATGCGTGTTCGTGTGCGTGTGCGCGTGCGTGTGCGTGTGCGTGTGCGTGTGCGTGTGCGTGTGCGTGTGTGTTTGTGTGTGCGTGTGTGTTTGCGTGTGCGTGTGCGTGCGCATGTTCCTGTATTGGGTTGGGTTGTAGTCTGACGTGTTGTGCCGTGTTGTGTGTGGTTTGTTTGGGCGTGTGTGTTGACCACGCTGCCCTCGGAGTTGGAGGACTACGGCTGGCACTTGATGCCTCCTCCACCTAGCGGTGGGCGCGCGTACGCTTTTACGCTCGTACGCTTTTAGTGCCCACATGGTGTCCTGACACGCATGGACCCGAGTGTCCATGCGCTTCGCCTGGCTAGGGAGCCGCCACTTGTCGGAGGATTGCAGAAGCCCGATGCTGCCAAAAGTTGGCCCTCCGCCACCTCTCGCCCCCATACCTCTAGCGCGCCGCCAATCTTCGGAGCCGCCAGGCCGGACCCTTCAACGGGGTAAGTCTTCCCAGAGGCTTTTCGGGAGCACTCCGAGGGCGAAGTCCAGAGTCCGGGTTCCGCTGCAGCAGCCGGACATCGGCCAGGCCTCCGAAATGGCAGCGCCCACCGTGCGGCCCTGCTCTCCCATGGGAGGCGGAAACTCGGGGAGCCTTCGAGGGTCGGTCGGGGGCGCCCACGCCTGCGCGGTTATTGTTTGCACAGCGGCGCAGCACGTCACTCCTGGTATTCTCCCTGCTCACCAATTTCGTCCCGCAACGGCACTTCGTCGTCGTCGGCCTCTCCCTGATGTCGGTGAGGCTGCCAATCTCCCGTCGAGTGCCCTGCTCCCCTTCTTCTGATTATGTAAGCTCCTAAACTCAATCATGCTTGCCCATATACCTGCTCTTGCTTCCGGTATTACTTTCAGAGCCGTTCCTATTTCTATTATTCATATTTCCCCTAACCATAGTGTTTATGATCATACCTACCAGTGAGATCTCGCATTGCATTTTTTCGACTGACCGACCGTGCCTGGGATATGTGCTCAGCTCCACGTGTTGGGATGCGTGACTGCCTCGTTGTGCTGGACCAGGCTGCGTGCTGGGATGTGTCGGTGTACTGCCTCGGTGTGCTCGGTGCTGGGATAGTGCCTCGGTGTTCTCGGATGTGTCCGTGTACTGCCTCGGTATGCTGGGATCGGTGTGCTGAGATGTGTAGCTGTACTCGGATGTGCGCTGGGGGTGTTGGGATGTGTGGAGGTGTGCCAAGATGTGTGCTGGGTTTGTGTTGCCTCCGTGAGCTGGAAATGTGTGCTTGCCTCGGTAGCCGGGCTGTCCCGCCGATGCCCGTCCGGATGCTCCTGGAGCCCTCTGAAAGCCCAGAGGTGCAAGAGCACGCCCCACGCTTCTCCATCTCCGATTCTCCACCGATGCAGGATCGGTGGACCGCCACGCAGATGTCGAAGGAGAGAAAACGGCAGACACAGGAACGTTTGGCGCTCCGCACGGACTTCTGGGAGCAGCGCCTGGGCCCCCCCTAGCGGCGCCTCCGGTGCTGCCCTAACGCGCTCCGCGCGCCGGGGGAAGGGGGCCCAGTCCGGCGCGGATCCAAGAAATCCGCGCGCGGATTGGCGAAAGCTTGTGTTTATGCCGCTTTTTGCTCCTCGAAGCTTGAGAGGGTGCTCGACTGTCTGACTGCCGCCTGCCCTTCCTGCCCCCCTTCTTACCAGCCTCGAACGTATCCCTATCCCTAAGATTGACACGCCAAAAGGCGATGACAATCTTAGGGATTCGCCCTCAAAAAATAGGGGAATCCCTAAGGTTGGCGTCGTGATGAGGAGGTGCCCAGCATAGGGATAGGGATATGTTACATGTTGGTAACTCTGAGCTTGAGAGAGTGCTCGACTGTCTGACTGCCGCCTGCCCCCTCGCTGCCCCCCCTTCGCTTGGCCTGGGGGAGGGGCGGCCGCCCTCTGCCGCTGGCTCTCGGCCAGCTCTGCCAGCTCCCGAGCCCGGTGGCGGAGGCAGACGGGCAGGACCCGGAGGAGGAGAGGAGGGGGCTCGAGCAGGAGCAGGGGCAAAAGGGAGAGGAGGGGGATCGAGCACGCCCCGACGTCCCCATCCTCGGACCTCGAGGGCCGAGGGCCGATGGAGGATCGATGGAGGAGCAAGAGGAGGGCCGAAGGAGGAGGAGCAGGAGGGGGATCGAGGAGCAGAAGGAGGAGCAGGGGGGGGCCACGTGACGCCATCGGTTCACTCCGATGGCGTGGAGAGAAAAAACCATGAGCTCCTCCCTCCTTTCTCCTCCTTCCTCCTTCCTCCCTCCTCCTCCTTCCTCCTCCCCCCCCTCCTCCTCCCTCCTCCTCCCCCTCCTCCCCCTCCTCCTCCTCCTCCTCCTCCTCCTCCTCCTCCTCCTCCCCCTCCTCCTCTTCCGCGCCTCCGTCGAGGAGCCGAGGGGCGCCGCGTGCATGCCCAGGGGGGCCCGTCGGCCACAGACGCCCCGGCGGCCAGGAGCTCAAGTCGGCCGTGGAGGCCTCCCGGTCCCTCAAGTGGATGGCCCGGCTCGCGGAGGCCGCCGCCCGGGAAGCCGGCCCCGCCGAGGGGGGCCCCTCAGCCGTCCCTCGGGGAGCGCGCCCCGAGCGGTGCGGTGAGCACGGTGGGTCCGTGGGGGGTCGTCGGGGGCGATCGTATCGGGAAGTCGGGCCTGTCCCTCTGCAGGGGGGATATTTTCAAAAATAGTCCAAGAATAGTGTGGGGATTATGTTTTGAGTATTTTGCTGACCATGTTGGAGTATTTTTTTTGAACAGTTGTTTTTTTCGTCGAAAATCCCCCCCCTGTAGGGGGACACGCCCGAGTTAATCGTATCGTCTTGGGACTCGGGCCGCTCTCCGAGGATGTCTCGGGCACCCGGGGGCCTCCGCCCTCGCGAGGGGCACCCAGACGGAACGGTGGCCAGACCCCGCGGCGAGGCGGTGTCGGGGGCAACGATATGGGGGGTCCCTCCAGCGGATGGCCTTGCTCGCGGAGGCCGCCGCCGTGCCGCTGCCCCCGCCCGGGGGGCATCCGACTTTTCTCTGCGGGGTCGAAATTTGTACGGGAACAATGAGCACAAGTCCAACAGCAGTGCTTGCGCATGATGAGCCAGATTCGCTGCCGGCGACGCCAGGTTCGTTGTCCATTTGAGGCGCAAGTTCGCTGTCCAACAGAGGCCGTTGTCGATGTTGTCCGACATTAGTTTTTGGACATCGTGTGCATGTTGCCCGTATTATTTCGGACGTCCAAAGTTTAGACGCTTAGCGTAGCCCGACCAACCCATCCAGAAACGATGTCCAGACGAGTTGCCCTGATCAGGGACGTGGAGGAGAGCGCAGTGGAGTAAAGGGCTTGGTAAGACGTCGTACCCCAAGAGGGTAGGATGGAGAAGGAGGAGGAGGATGGAGAGGGGGGAAGGTGGAGGAGGGAGGAGGAAGGACGAGGAGCAGGCGGATGAGGAGGAGGAGAAGGAGGAGGAGGAGGAAGAGTGCGAGCAGAAAGGACAGAGGCCTTTTGGATGCCTCTTGGAGTCTCTTCGGATTTCTTTCGAGAACTTCTTGGAGTCCTCTTGAGGCGTCTTGGGGGTCTCTTGGAAGTGTCGGGGCCTCTTCAGGCGTCTTGGGTGCCTCTGGGGGGCCTCTTGGAACTTCTTGGGGGTCTCTTGGGAGCCTTTGGGGGGCATTTTGGATGCATTGTGAGGGCTTCTTGGGGCTTTCTGGGCACCTCTTGACGTCGTCTTGGGGCACCCTTGGGAGCCTCGAGGGCCATTTTGGGGTCGCCTTGGAAGAGATCGATCAAAAGGAGGGGGGCTCCTTACATAGGTGTCCCCCAGATGAGGCCAAAACCTGAGTAACATTAATGAGTTCTGCCTTCTCACCGAGGCCGCTTGGGGAGTCTTGAGCGCCTCTGGGTGACATCTTAGGGCCTGGGCGAGGTGCGCCACGCATGCCAGGCGCGCCACGCGCGCCAGGCACCCCTGGGGCCCGAGCGTGACAGGCGCGCATGGTGTGCCAAATGCGCCAGGTGTACCGCGTACTCCAGCCGCGCCAGGTGCGTCACGTCCGGGGCACGTGCAGAGTGTGCCAGGTGCGCCTGCGCACGTGACAGCACACATCGGGAAACGTGTCGTCCCCCACCATCCTGGTCGAAAACCAACGCCCATCATTGTGTCTGGTGAGCCTGCGAACAGCAGGCCATACGCCACCACCCCCGCCATTCCTGTCAAAAACCACTTGACAGTGATCGCGGAGTGGCCGCGCATGATCCAGATTTAGCCGCGAGGTGCATATTTGATGGTTTTGTTGACAGGATGGTGGCCCTGCGCGCAGCAGGCGATTTGCTGACACCCCCGCCGTCCTCGTCAAAAAACAAAACAAATTGCTCGCGGGCCGCACGAACATGATTCAAGACTTTGCCCCAAAGTGTACTTTGTATTGTTTCTGTGGCAGGGCTGGGGGGGGGGGAGGGGGGGCGCAGCGGGTTGGTTGCGCATGCTCCGAATTTGGAGGCAGGGTGTGTTTTGTATTGCTTTTGACGGGATGGCTGTGGGGCGTGAGCACACGGTCGGCAGTGTGCCCGGTTGGCTGCCGGTCGCCTGGGGGAGGGTGCATATTGATAGGGACGAGTGATAAGCCTGTTCCCAAAGGCCCAATCGGGGGTGGACAGACCTTCTACCCTGACACGTCGATTAGTGAATTGTCCGTTTTCGGTTCTCGAGAGGGTGCCGCGGCCGTTATTTTCCAGGCATGCGTTCGCCAGGTTTGGGCCCGAGGTCGTTTTCCCGAAACCACGTTTTACTAAAGGGAGGTCTGTCCATCCCCGACCCAAAGGGGAAGAAAAGGGAGGTGGAAGAAGAAACGCTCTGAACCACTCACGCCCGAACGGCGCCCGCTGGGCCGTCGGGTGCTTTTCGGGCCGTGCGGGTCGCACTCCGAAAGGATGCCTCGGCGGGCGAGGGGGGCTTCCAGGGCCCGACACCGTGCGGTGACGGGCCGTGCGGTTGGGTCGTTCGGTCTGCCACCACACGTGTTTGGGGCACCCAGTCCTCCCCCCATCCTCCCACTCTTCCTCGTCCTCCTCCTCGTCCTCCTCCCCTCCTCTCCTCCTTCACCCCCTCCCCCTCCTCTTCCTCTTCTCCTCCCCCCACTCTCACTCTTTATCCTCTCCCTCCTCGAGGGGGCAGGGGAGAGGACGTTCTCGTCGGCTCCTGGGAGCAGTTTTCGCTGCCTCTCGGAGATTTCTTCTCGCCTCGGTATGCCTTCCAGCAGCTGCGCCTCGTCGGATGATTTCCGGGAGTGCCCCGATCGTCCCGAATGGCCGCCAGAGGCTTGAGGTATGAGTCGGAAATCACACAGCGTCGAAGAGGGGGGGGAGGACTAAGGGGTGGGTGGACACCATGGCCAGGGTCGTGATCCCTCCCCGATGTCATCCCCCCTCTTATTATGTCAAGACGCTCCCTGCCCTCCCCCCACCCCTCGTCCGCGTGCACGCTTCGGGTCATGATGCCAAAACCCCTCATCTTCCTGGACCCCCATCTTCGGCGTACCCGACCCGCAGGGAGCCCTTCCCGATTCGAGGCTCCGAGCTGGGGCATGGCGGCGGAAAGAGTGGTGACGACGACCGGCGGCAGGATAGGGCTGCCCTCTCGCATCACCCCTCCATCCCTTCTTTCCGCCGCCTCCTGCCTCCCCCCTCTTCCATACGGTGGGGACGTTTGTTAAGAAATGCGCCCAGGAGGCTTCAGACCTTGAAGGGTTCCTTACCTGATGGGGGCGGCAGTGATACCCATGGCCGATCCACGACTGGAGCTCCACCAGCTTCCAGACCCTGGGTTCCTGACCCTGAGATCGGACCGACTCGGCCGACGGGCACGGCCAAAAGGCTGGAAGTGTCCATGTTGTGTAGTATCGATTGCCAGTGATGAACGGCCTGTCCGGCGGCCCGCACATGCATCAATGCGTCCCCCTCCCCACCGTTCCTCCCAGTGCCTCGATGGTTCTGTGGCCCGGAGTGGCCGGGAGATCGCAGAGGGGAAGCCTCATGTTGGGTGCGTCGGATTTGTGCCTGACGTCCTCGAGGCGTCACCCAGGGCCGTATCTCTTGTCCAGCACGGACAACATTAAGGGGAGGTGCGGGGAATGGTAATTGGGAGAGGAAGTGTGTCGGCTTTCGATTGGGTATATCGGTTCTGTCTGGAGTGCCGATGGGAGTTTCTATTGTTGTCCAAGCGTCACGAGCGGGTAGCGAAAGCTCGGACGATCAGTGATGTAGAACTGAAGCGAACAGCTTTGTGATGTCTATTGCCTTTACGTTTCTGGTTGTCCGCTCAAAGGAAATATGTGCGACTGGCAAGACGTGCCTGGCGCGCTACTCGACTGGCGGCGAGGAGGCTCCCTGTATCCCCCATCCAGCAAAATCCTGTCGGCAGTGAGTTTATCATGTTACCAAGGCCCAGGTGCGCTGAATGAGAGCTAGGACGGCTAGGATTTTACAAGAAGCCATCAACGCCGAAGTGAGCTTTTGGAGAGTGCACCGCTCGCCCAAACAAGGGGGAGCAAAAGCGGCCTGTAGCCAATCGGGCGCCCCTCGACAGTGCCGAGTAAGCTGACTGGCGAGGAGGGGGGAAGGGGGAGGCGAGGAAGCGCAGACATGGATTAATAAGGCGCGTGGATGAGCGGCTGGCCTCGCTTCCGCACAGCATCGGCGCGCTCCACCGCCAAAGCAGGCGGCGGCGGCCTCACCTTCTGGGTGCAGCTGCCTGGTCCGTGGATCTGTCGGCCACGCGCCGGGCCCACGGATCCGTGAGCCATGTCAGCATGCGCCCGAGGGAGGAAGGGAGGAGTGAGCGGAGAGGGTGAGGAGCCCCCCCCTCTGTGGGCCCCGGAAACGGCAGGGCCGATTTGTCACCGTTTCCCCCAAACTGTCCCTTGAAAATGGAAGCGGCAAAAAAACGGCTCCAGGATTGGAACCGGAGCCGGAACCGGTCAAAAAGCGGCCACGGAACCGGTAAAACAACGGCGTCGGAACCGGCAAAGAAACGGCAAAGCGGAACCGGTAAAAAAACGGCCCTGTCGTTTCCAGGGCCCGCTAAGGCCCCCCCCCCGCCGCACGCTCGACGGCGCCAGGCGTGCGGCAAGGAGGGCACCGTCGTGAGGGACGACTCCGACGGGACCTCGCAGGCACGGGATCCGCAAGCTGCAGAGTCTCATCCACCCGTCGCCCTCCCCGAAGGAGGAGGAGCAGGAGATAGGGAGGGAAGATGGAGGGAGGAGAAGGAGGAATAGGCGAGCTAACCCGAAGAAGCAATTAAGAACCCCCCCGGGGATATCTTAGCACCGCAATGTTATTCAATATTCCGAGGGGCCATTTTCGCCGAACGATATCTTTAGCACCCGGCAAAAAAATGATGATATGAAGGACGAGGATGACGAGAAGAAGGAGGAAGAGAAGGGCGAGGATGAGGAGAAGAAGGAGGAAGAGAAGGGCGAGGAGGAGGAGAAGGAGGAGGAGCAGCAGCAGCAGCAGCAGATGCAGCAGCATCAGCAGCAGCAGGCAGAGGGAGGAGGATGAGGACAAGGAGGAGGAGGAGAAGAAGGAGGAAGAGGAGGGCGAGGAGGAGGAGGAGGAGAAGGAGGAGCAGCAGCAGCAGCAGCAGATGCAGCAACAGCAGCAGCAGCAGCAGCAGCAGGGAGTGAGGAGGGAGGAGCACCCAGCAAAAATCTGTTGTCCAATTATATTAAGAAATGCGATGATGTCCCAAGCGATTTGGCAAATTCTATTAAGAAATGTCAGAATGTCTCAGGCGATTTGGCCAACTCTACTACAAACTATGAGGATGCCTCACTCTCCTGAGCGCTGCTGTTTCCTGCTCCCTGCGCTGGGCGTTTCTTCACTGACGAAGCCTCGCCTCTGACCTCTGCGGCAGGCCTCTTCCTGATCGCGCTTTTCCCTGCAGGGCGCTTCTTGACTGACGTGGTCTTCTCCTGAGCCTCCGCCTCAGCAGCGGCCTTCCAAACAGCGGCCTCCGTCTCAGCCTCCGCTCCGAGCCTTCTGACCTCCCGTCGAGTCAAAGCATCGTAGCCCTGAGGATTCTGATACCACCTCTCGTACAAACCAACCTCCGAGACATTGCGGAACTGAGCCTGCGTGAAACGCTGAGGTGGAGACGAAAACTCGTGCGCTCGGCGGCTGAAGGTCAAAGCCTGAAGCCTGGGCCTGAGCCTGCGTGCCAGCGTGAAGCTCGTGAGGGGACATTTGGAGGACCCAGAAAGGGGGAGCGCTGTGCCCTTGTTGAAGGTTGCTGGAGCTCTCTGTCGGGTGCCTCGAAGAACTCTCCTGTGCCGTCTTGAACTCTTCTGGGCTCCTAGGCCGTCTTGGACTCTTCTGATTCTCCCTGGGCAGTGTATGACTGCTAAACATCTTAATTGAAGCAAATAGCAACATTCTTGTTCTCCTCCTCCTCAGAAATGCGAGGATGTCTCAGGTCATTATGGACATTATAATCAGAAATGTGAGGATGTGTCAAGCGATATGGCCCATTCCAAAAATGCAAGGATGTCTCAGGCGATGTGGCCAATTCTATGAGGAAATGTGGGGATGTCTCAAGCGATCTGGCCAATTCTATTGGGATATGCGAGGATGTCTCAGGCCATTTTGGACATTGTCATAAGAAGTGTGAGGGTGTCTCAAGCGATATGGCCAACTCTAGCAAGAAACGCAAGGATGTCTCAGGCGATTTGGTCACTTCTGATAAGACATGCTAGGAAGTCTGAGGCGAATTGCTGGTTTCCTCCTCTTCCTCCTCTATTATTCTTTCTGCTTCGCTGGTTTTTTCGATGAGGTTTCTCTTGGAACTCCTTTAACGACATGTGTGTTGTTCGGCCGTCGTAGGGGGTGGTCCACCCGACGGCACCCCACCCGCTCCGCACCGTAGCGTTATCTTAGCACCCGCACAAAAAAAAACAAATCGTCGTCGTCAACGCAATCGTCGTCGAAGACATGTGGGCGTCTCGGGCGATGTGGTTACTTCGACTAGGAAATGTGAGGATGTATCAAGCGATGTGGCCAATTCTATTAGGATATGTGAGGATGTGTCAAGCCATGTGGTCAATTCTATTAAGAAACGCGAGGATGTATCAGGCCATTTTGGACATTGTAATCAGAAATGTGAGGGCGCCTCGAGCGAGACGGCCAACTCTAGCAAGAGATTTGAGGATGTATCGGGCGTTTTTGTCAATTCTGATAAGACACGCTAGAAGTCTGAGGCGAATTGTTGGTTTCCTCGTCTTCCTCCTCTACTCTTCGTTCTGATTCGTTTTTTTGTCCGATGAGGTCTCTGTTGAAACTCCGTTAAGGAAATGTGTTTTTTTCGGCTGTCGTAGGGGGCGGTCCACCCGACGGTATCCCTCCCGCCCCGCACCGTGGCGTCATCTTAGCACCCTGACAAAAAATTGCCGTCATCGACGTAAGCGTCGTCGAAGACATGAATTCTCCTGAAATATTATTATTAACCTTTTCTTGCTATCGAACACCCTTCTCCTTCTCTTTCTCCTCCAGTCGTCTTTATTATCCTGCCTCTTCTGAGAAGTCTGCGGATGTCTCAGGCAAGTTGGTCAACTAGACTAAGAAATGCGAGGATGTCTCAAGCGATTTGGCCAATGTTATGAAGAAATGTGAAGATGTCTCCGACGAGTTCGCCTATTCTATGAAGAAATATGAGGATGTTCCATGCGATCTGGCAAATTCCATTATAAAATGTGAGGATGTCTCAGGGAATTTGGCCGATTCTACTAAGACATGCGAGAATGACGCAACTGAATCCGCGACAGCTGAATCGATTTGACAACGAGCAAAAAGCACTGATTGAGGCAGAGAATCTGTAGACGAATAACTGAATCTGAAACAACTGAATCGAATTAACAACGATCCCTTGCAAGCTGTTTTTTTTTGGACGGGCGATCTCGCTGGGACGCTGGAATCATCTTGCTGGAACGCTTGAGCCCTGAAAGGGCGGCAGGCACAGGAAGGAACTCTCCTGAGCACTGAAAGGTTGCCCTGATATTGCCAGAACTGTCACAGGCACAGGCAGGAACTCTCCTGAGCACTGAAAGCATTGGGGAAGGAGGGAGGGAGGAGGAAGGAGGAGGAGAAGGATTAAGAGATTGGCAGAAAGAGAAGGAGGAAGGCGAGGATCTGAACCGGAGAGGAGGAGGAGGAGGAGGAAGAGGAGGAGGGGGAAGAGGGCGATGCGAAGCTAGGAAAACTCAGGGAAACCAAGGAAAGGTTAAGAGAAATTGAGAAAGACAAGAAAAATCAACATCGGAAACGCTAAGAAAACTGAGGAACACTTGAGAAAGCAAAGGGAAAGCGAAGGAGGTTCTAGAAATCATACAGAATTGCTGAAGCGGCCAAAACGCACGCACTCTCTGAAGCGGCCAAAACGCGCTGAGAGAGTCTCTGGGGCCTGAAGCGGCCTGACAGGGTGAGCTCGACTCGTCCCCTCTCCTGTCTCTCTTGACTCGTCCCCTCTCCTGTCCCTCCTCCTCCTCCTCCTCCTCCTCCTCCTCCTCCTCCTCCTCCTCCTCCTTTCCCGCCCACCATCCCGATCACGAGCTCCTGAGCTGTCTCATGAGGCCTCAAGCCCTGAGCGCGAGAAAATCAATGCAGACAGCACCTGAGCTCGTCGCCGCCACTGCTGGGCATCTGAACTCGTCGACGGTTGCTGAAGAACACAAGATGGCTCACCTACACATGCCCCTGAGGAGAGGGTCGGACGGATCGGCCGAAGGCCTCAGAGAATAAGAGCTCCCTGGGCCCTGAGAGGCCCTGGACCCCGATGGGGGAGGAGGTCAGGCGTATCGGCCGAAAGCCTCTGAGAATAAGAGCTCCTTGGGCCCTGAGAGGCCCTGGCCACTGAGGGAAGGCGAGGGGCCATTGGCTGAAGGCATATCCAGGGCCCTGCTATGAGAGCCCTTGCGGTACGTCTTGGACCGTTTTGGATTAGTCTGGAACCTTTTCGGCCATCTTGGATTATTGTGACGCTCCCTGGGCCGTGCAGGAGTCGTGAGCTCTCTTGACCGTTCTGCGGAATGCCTCTCTGGGCCGTCTTGGACTCTTTGGCCGTATTCTGGGAAGGAATATGAGAATCTCTCAAACGATTTGGCAAATTTGACCAAGAAGTGTGAGGATGTCTCACGCGATCTGGTCAGTTCTCTTAAGGAATGTGAGGATGTCTAGGGCGATTTGGTTAATTCTACAAGAACATGTCAGGATGTCTCAGGCGATCTGGTCCTCTCTGGGCCGTCTTGGACTCTTTGCCCAATCGTTTGAGGATGTCCCAAGCGACTTTGCCAATTCTACGAGCGAGAATTTCTACGAGTTCAGGTGGGTTCAGCGCCTCGCAAAAATGAAAACCCTGGCAATCGTGGTAATGGTGGTAGTAGAAGTAAGAGTTGGAGTTGGAGTAGGAGTAGGAGGAGAGGGAGGAGGAGGAGGAGGAGGAGGAGGAGGAAGAGGAGGAGGAGGAGGAGTAGGAGTAGGAGTAGGAATACGAATAGGAGTACGAGTACGAGTAGACGAGTAGGCCAAGTTTCTTAAGAAGTGCGAGGATGTCCCAGACGATTTGGCAAATGCGAATACAACTGCGAGGATGTTCCAGGCGATGTGGCCAATTCGATTAAGAAACGTGAGGATGTCTGATGCGGGTTGGCCAATTCTATTAAGACATGCGAGGATGTATCAGGCGATGTGGCGAATTCTATTAAGAAATGTAAGGATGTCTCACGCGATTTGGCCAATTCTATAAAGAAATGTGAGGATGGATCAGGCGAGTTGGCCAATTCAATTTAGCAATATGAGGATGTCTCATGCCATTTGGCCAATTCGATTAAGGAGTGTGAGGATGTCTTAAGCGATTTTGGCAAATTCGATTAAGCAATATGAGAATGTCTGATGTAAGTTGGCGAATTATATTAAGAAGTGTAAGGGTGTCTCAGGCGATGTGGCCAAGTCTTTTAACAAATGTGAGGATGTCTTTGGCGATTTGGCAAATGCTGATAAGAATTGCGAGGATGTTTCAGGCGATGTGGCCAATTCTAATAAGAAATGTGTGGATGCCTCGTGCGATTTAACAAACTATAATAAGAGATGTGAGGACGTCTCAGGCGAGCTGGCCAATTTTAGTAAGAAATGTGAGGGTGTCTCAGGCAATTTGGCAAGGTCTATTTGGAAATGTGAGGACGTCTCAAACGATTTGGCCAATCCTATTAAGAAACGCGTTGATGTCTCAGGCGATTTGGGCAATATGTGAGGATGTCTCAAGCGATTTGGCGAATTGTCATAAGAAATGTGAGGATGTCTCAAGCTATTTGGCATTCTCGTACGAAATGTGAGGATGTCTGAGGCGAGTTGGCCAATTCTTTTAAGAAATATGAGGATGTCTCACACGATTTGGCCAATTCTATTAAGACATGTGAAGATGTTTCAAGCGATTTGGCCAAGTCTATTAAGAAATGTGAGGATGTCTCACGCGATTTGGCTAATTCTATTAAGAAATGAGAGGATGTCTCAAGCGATGTGTCTCCTCCTCCTCCTCCTAGCCTCAGGTGCCAGAATAACGCTTCCAGGTGCCGGGGGATATCGTTTCGCCGGAAGGGGGGGGGCTCTTAATTGCTTCCTCGGGTTACCGGGGGAGAAAGTTCTCCGATGGGCTTAGGATGTTTGAAGACCGTCTGGAGGATTTTGGAGATCCTCCACCTCCTCCTCCTCCCTCCTCCTCCTCCTCCTCCTCCTCCTCCTCCTCCTCCCTCCTCCTCCTCCTCCTCCTCCTCCTCCTCCTCCTCCTCCTCCTCCTCCTCCTCCTCCTCCTCCTCCTCCTCCTCCTCCTCCCTCCTCCTCCTCCTCCTCCTCCTCCTCCTCCTCCTCCTCTCCCTTCTGTAATTATTTTGGCTCAAGTCCGTCCCCTCCGTGGGATCTCGAATTTGGGCCGAAA